TGCGCAACCCGTGCCAGGGGCGGAAGTGCCACCACGGGGCCGTCTGCGTGGTCGAAGGAGGGACGCCCCAGTGCCAGTGCCCGGCGGAGTGCCACATGTACAACGGGGCGGCGGCGGCGAGTTCGAGGCCTGTGTGCGGCTCCGACGGCAAGGACTACCCGAATGCCTGCCAGTTGCACAAGCACGCCTGCAACACGCAGAGGCACCTCGAAGTCAAGTACCTGGGCAAGTGTGGTGAGTATCTGCCTGGTTTGCTTAATTAATAGGCTGCGGGATCATTAAAATGTATATTCATAATAGTTGTTATAGTGATATTGATCATTATTATCATGATTATGATTGCCCCTTTTGGTGGTACTGATAACCATGATCACATTAATAACGATGAAATTAGAACGACAATAAGAATTATTCTAATGATAATAATAATGATAATGATGACAAAGCTCATAATAATAGTAATGGGAAAAGTAATAATGGTAATGATAATTATGATGATAAAATTGATAGTAATAATGATAACGGTAATAATGTTAATGATAATGATTATAGGGACAAAGATGATAATGATAATGATATAACAATAATAATAATAGTAAAAATGATAATAATAATGTTAATGATAATGAATATGATGATAATGGTGATAATGATAACAATTATAATAATAGGAGTAATAATAACAATAATAATATTAATAATAACAATAATAATATTAATAATAACAATAATAATATTAATAATAACAATAATAACGATATTGATAATGATATTGATAATAATAATAATGATGATTATAATTACAATGATAATAAAAATAATGACGAGGCAAATGATATGTTCATTAGCTTTCCGTTTGAAAGGACAAGACTCGAAATGCTTAAGCGTCGGCCGATTGATCAAAGCCGTCGACCTAATGACCATTAACATATTTTATGGATGGTATATTTAACGCTGCCAGTTTATGATAGTCTGTTGGACAATTTATTTTAAAGGCGATTAAATCCACGGCAGCCGAGCGCGGCCCCTTTTGAACTAAGCGGTTTAGTGCCATTTGATAAATTCTTCTAATCTTGTCATATGTCATGTGTATGTATATATGTACATGCGTGTGTGTGTGTGTGTGTGTGTGTGTGTGTGTGTGTGTGTTTGTGTGCGTGTGTGTGTGTGTGTTTGTGTGTGTGTGTGTGTGTGTGAGTGTATGTATGCATGTATGTATCATCATCATTATTGTAAAATTATTATTACCAGTATTATTATTATTGTTGTTGTTGTTGTTGTTGTTGCTATCATTATTATTATGATTAGTAGTAGTAGTAGTATGATTATTATTATTATTATTAATTATTATTATTATTATTATTATTATTATTAATGTTATTATTATCATCAGCAATATTAGTAGTACTGTTGTTATTATTATGATTCTCATCATTATCATTATTATCATTGCTATTCTTATCATTATTATTATCATCATCCATATCATTACTACTATCGACATTACTTCCTTCTCCAAATAACGAGCCAGTGTCGAGGAGACGCCACGAAGTCCTCCTTCCACTGGGTCTGTCCTTAAGCTTAATCTCCCAGGACTTGTGTGAGAAAATCCTAGTGTCTTTGCAGCCGGTTCGCCACTAAGCTTTATCGCCCAGACGTGTGTGTCAGAGAATCAGCGCGTCGCTCTAGGTTCATCTCTCAGACACATTTAGTTCCTCCTTTGACACCTACCCCTCCTTGGCTGGCTCCTGTCCCCCCCTCCCTCCCTCCCTCCCTCCCTGCATCCCTCCCTCCCTCTTTCCTCCCTCCCTCCCTCCCTCCTTTCGAGAGGAGTGATGAAAACGCCGTCCCTTCTCCTTCTCCTTTCCCTTATTCTTATCCTTATGCTACTTTTCCTACTCCTATTCCTGTTCCCACTCCAACTCCTCCTTCTCATTTTCATTCTCCTCCTCCTCTTCCTTTTCTCCTCCTCCTGTTTCTCTGCCTTCTCTTACTTCTATGTCTCCTCCTCCTTCCTCCTTATTCCCTGCTATAGACGTAGGTGGTTAAGAACGTGACCCCCTCCTCCCTCTTCCGGTCTCGTTCCTATTCCTTCCTCCGCCCTCTGCCCTCCTCCTTCCCTTCCTCCCTCTTTCCTTCCTTCCTCCCTCCCTCCTTCCTTCCCTCCCTTCCTTCCTCCTTCCCTCCATCCTTCCACCCTCCTTCCCTTCCTCCCTTCCACTCTCCTTCCCTTCCTCCCTCTCTCCCTCCCTCTCTCCCTCCCTCCCTGCCTCCCTCCCTCCCTCTCTTCCTTCCCGTTCCGTCCCTCCTTCTACCTCCTGCCTGTCATCCTATCCCCCTCCTTCCCTCTTCCTCCTCTCCTATTCCAATACCCTCTATCCTTCTCCACCATCCTCGACGCCCTTCATCCTCTACCATCCCCCACTCCCTCCACCCTCCTCCACCATCCTCCACCCCCTCCATCCTCCTCCACCATCCCCCACCCCCTCCTTCAGGACACGACCCCCCCTCCCCCCGCCATCTGCTCGGTTCTTAGGCTCATTTCCTGTCCCGCTGCGTGGAAGATTAGCTCCGCTGCGACCTCGTCTTCGGGAGATCTGTCAGGAGGACGCGATTGGGGGCGGGAGAGAAGCTTCGCGGGAGCAGCTGTTGGGGAGAGAAGGGGAGGGAGGGAAGAGGGGAAGGGTCGGAGGGAAGTGGGGAGGGGGGGGAGAGGGGAAGGGTCGGAGGAAAGTAGGGAAGGGGGGAGAGGGAAAGGATGAGGGGAGAGAGGGAAGTGGGGAAAGGGTCAGAGGGAAGTGGGGAGGAGGGGAGAGGGGAAGGGTCGGAGGGAAGGGGTGGGAGGGAGGGATAGTAGGGAAGGGTTGGAGGAAAGGGAAAGGGGAAAGGACGGGATTGAAGGACGAGGGGCAGGGGCGGGAGTGAAGAGAGGCAAGGACAAGGGAAAGGGACCAGGGAGAGGGATGAGAGGAAAGGATGATGTGGAGGGAACGAGGGAAATTGGGCTGAAGCGAAAGGGAAAAGGGAAGGGGCAAGGGGAAAGGACGGGAATGAAGGGACGGAGGGGAGAGGAACAGGAAGGGAAGGTGTCAGGGGAAGGTCTCGGGGAAGCTAGGGAAACCAGGGAATGTGCATGTGTTTGAGAGGTTTGTATTGTGTGTGTGTGTGTGTGTGTGTGTGTGTGTGTGTGTGTGTGCGAGAGAGAGAGAGAGAGAGAGAGAGAGAGAGAGAGAGAGAGAGAGAAAGAGAGAGAGAGAGAGAGAGGGAGAGAGAGAGAGAGAGAGAGAGAGAGAGAGAGAGAGAGAGAGAGAGAGAGAGAGAGAGAGAGAGAGAGAGAGAGAGAGAAATTCTGCGAAAGAGGAAGATGAAAAAGGGAAGATAAAAAGATAAAAAAAAGAGGGATAGAAGTGGAAGAACGAGAAGAAGAAGAAGGAAGAGGAAGAGAATAACCTTTTTGAGTTGATCTTAAAGACGAAGAAACACCGAGAGAAGGGAGAGGAGGGCTTATGAGACCTCTGCAGGGACGTTCCAGGCGAGTGTTGCAGGCGGCGTCAGCTCATCAGCCACGATCATTTCGCCGAGAAAGGACTGGTTGCAAGCTTTAATGAGGGTCATTAATTACGCAAATGACAGGCCTGAGTAAGCACCATTTTATCGACTTCACGCAATATCGAACGTAATAAATCAAGGTGTAGCAGACTAAGGGAAGGGGAATGGGAAGGGGAAGAAGGGAGGAAAGGAAGAGAGAGAGAGAGGATGAAGAAAAAGGGAGAAGAGATAAAAAAAAAGAGGTAGAAGGTAGAAGGAAGAGGGGGAAGAGGGAGATCTGAAGAATAAGTTAGTAGGAAGAAAAGGGGAAAGAGAAAGAAAGAAAGTAGAAGGTCAAAGACGTAATAAAACAAAAGAAGAGACGAGAAGAAGGGAGGGAGGGGAGGTGCTACATTTGACACCCTCGGTCGACGCGGGATTCGACTCATCGGCGAGATTGAGCGTAGATATCCCCGGGTTCTTCCACGCAATCGGACGCGACGTAAGTTCCCGCGACTTCTCGACTTCGGCGCAACATTTAGCCTCCTCGCCATGACGCTGTCCCTAGGGGGGGGGGGGGGGGCTCTCAGGATGGGGGGGGGAGGGGGAGAGGGAGGGGAAGGGGAAGGGGGGTTTCCAGGAGGGGGGGTGGAAAAGAAGGGGGGGCTCTCAGGATGGGGGGAAGGGAAAAGAAGGGGAGGAGGGGGAGAGGGAGGGGAAGAGGGGGTTCCAGGAGGGGGGGGATGGAGAAAGAAGGGAGAGCAGCAGAGGGAGAGAGGAGGGTAAAAGGGTGAGAGGGAGAGAAGAGACGAAGACGAAGGGACGAAGATGAGGATGAGTACAAGGTTCATAGGAGGAGGAGGGAGGGAAGGGAGGAGGAAACCTTGAGGAAATGCGGGGAGGAGGCTTCCAGAGGGTTGTAGCAAGGAGGTGGAAGGCTCGGAGGCTTCCAGGGGGGAGAGGGGTAAAGGAGGGGGGGCGGATGGGGAGGGGGGCATCAAAGTCAAGGCTACTGAGGCATTCCTAATTTTAGTTAATTGTCCCGTACTTGGGTGCTGCCTCGTGGAGCCTCGGGCGGGGGGGAGGGAGGGGGAGGCAGGAGGAGAAGGTACGCGTGAGGCGCTCTTGTTCGCTTCATTCCACATCCTGTCCTCTTAGCCTCCCTCCTCTTTACCCCCCCCCCCCATCCTGTCTTCCTACCTCCTCCTTTCTCCCCCACCTCGTCTTCCTTTTCTTTTTCTTTTCTTTTTTTTCTTCATTCTTTCCTTCCTTCTGGTGGGCCCTTGCTTTCGTATGCTTTATTCCCGATTTTCTTCTGTTGCTTTTCTCCTTCTTAGCCTCCTTTCTTCTCCCACGTCTTGTCTTCCTCCCCCACTTACTTGTCTCCTTCATTCGCCTCCTCCCCCTCCTATTCCTCTCTCTCATTATCTTCATACCTTCGCTTCTTCTCATCGTTTTCATCATCCGGCTCTCTTACTTCTCCCTTCCCCTTCTCCCTTATCTTTTATCTCATCCTTCCCCTCTCTCCTCCTTCCATCCTCTCTCCCTCTACCTCCCCCTTCCATTCTTCTCCCCTATTACCCTCTCCTCCCTTCCCCTCCTCTGTAAAAACACCTTTATCCGTTGTTTTTTTTATATATCTATTCTGAGGATATGGACTTATAAATATAGATATCTTTTTCCAATCATCAGTTTAGGATTAAAAC